TAAAATTATTAAAGTGGATATATGGTATTAGATATAAGATAATAATAAAATTATTAAAGTTGATATATGGTATACCAAATTATACAACATTAATTAAAAAGATGTACATATAGATGAACAGTTTCTTTTTTTAGAAAAAAATATTATTTGTAGTTATTTATACAGAAAGTTTATTATTTTTCCAATATCCATTTAAATTGTTAAATTTAAAAATTAATAATTGTTACATTTTATAAATGTTGTTGTCCAAAAATTTCTTCATTTATTTTTTTTATTTTCATATTAGTTAAACATTATCGACTATATAATATATTGATATGCATTATTAGAATTAAACTACATGATATTATTTTATTTATATAATTTATAACATCTTCTTCAGCAGGTAATTCTACATGTGCAGTGTGCCAGTGTCTAATATAATAATAATATATCTTGGGCAGAAAAGATGTGGTAGTAGAAATTTTTGGGCCCACATTTATCGGCCCAGTTATTTATAGTGTCTTGATGGGCTGTAGCTAGTGTGATATAACATCGTCGTCTTAATCTTCTATCTTCTACCACATTATTAAATAATAAATATGACTATTACTTTTATCCATTTGTGAACAGAAAGTCGTATTATATTTGATAGATATATTAAGTATCACCTCACAATGAAGAACTAAAACAATGAAGAAATAACTTTTTCTATTTTTCCACATATTTGAGGAAACCTTTTTACTCAAAAGAAAAAGACAAGCTGACTCAACTTCATTAAATTAATATAATGCGACTCGTTAAGGCTCGAACTCGACTGATTAACATTGATAAACGAGTCGAGCACAAACTCAATTATTGACTCATCAAGAGCTCGAGCTCGAGCTTGACTTAGACTCTTTTATAACTCTAGTTGGAAGAGCTCACATAACCCACTAAAGGTAATTCAGCATTAATTACACACCACTTGCATGCATTGATTGATGCAACTTATCCTGTAAAAGGTCATGTGGTCCTTTTATGATTAACTAGTACGTAGCCCGTGCGATGCACGAGACATAAATATTAAATGAGTTATTTATTTTCATAGGCTTTGTCCGTTTAAGTAAAAAAAAATAATAGGGTTATAATATATTTTCCACCTATTTTAACCACCATTGTTTTTTAGCCAGAACATTAAATATGAAAATGCTAGAGCTAGCTTGTAAACAATTAATATATTATCTCACTAACACATTTATACTAATATAAACTTGATTTAGTATATATGTTTATTTCTTGATATAAGAGAAAATATAAGTTTTACTTGTTCTTGTTCACCATATAATACTTTATTTTTATTTTATTATGAACTTTGTTGTCGTATAATGTCATTAATATTTATAAACGTTGTAGAAGTTGTACGTCTTCTTTTTCTTTTTATTTTATATAATAAAAAATATTTAATGCACGTTAGTATTATTTATTATTGTAATTAATTAAAATATATAAACTAATTTAAATTAAATAGTGTATAGATATTTTACAAAATATACACACATGTTTTTAGAATTTAATTTTAAACAATAATTAACAACCTCGATCTAACGAATGACAAAAACTCAATAGTTTCTATAATCAAGAATTATAAAATTAGGATTTATAGTGTATTTAGAATACTCTGCAATAAAAAATATATTTTACAAGAATTTCATTATGGAAATAAATAAAAATTTAAAAAATAATACAAAAATAATCATGATTGCCAACAAAATAAAAATAAATTATAAAGAATAAATATTATAATTCAATTTTAATTTTTCACAATTAGCAAAACTATTTAATGTATCTGGTCATTATCTCTTAGATAGTAAATAACATTAATTTAAAGAATAATTTATTTTTTTATACATAACAAAATAAAGTTTAGGAAAAAATTATACCGGCAAAGATTTGTTCACCAACATGATTTTGCCTGATTAATTGGAAGAAAATTTTCCACCTGTTATGATTTTCGCCTGATTAATACATTTGCACAGATATTCATATAAATCGATATTTTTATCTCTTCCTAATATCAATTTAAACGTTGCATCCAAAACCCGCTGGATATATAGCGACATTTATTTATAACATCAAATTTAAAACGGTTTATTAATTTTACACACGACAGTCACATGACAAATCACAAATAATAATAGTAGCAGGCACATTACATTACATATTTTAAATGCTTATGCAAGGACCACTTTTCAATTATTTTTATACTTTTGCCTTCTCTATTGCTACTTGCTAGTCATTTTCAAGGATAAAGATAAAATGAGTTGATTGTCTATAAAAAGAAAGGTCACGGTTCACACACATCACTCCACATTAATGTAGATAATTAAATATATATGTTTATATTGTAAAATATATCATATTCTTTAAAATGTTAATTTTTTTTTAATAAAAGTATACATATTCGCAAAAAGTAACTGTCAGGCCATAGGTCTATGCCACGGGCCAACGCGGCCCGGCTTGGATACGCTGGGTTATGAACCGGACAGGAACCTCGAGTCGGTTAAAGGCCGCTTTTTAGTTATTTTAGAGAGCCGCCGGTTTTTAGCATTTTTTTAAAGTAAAAAATAAAATACAGCCATCTTTTTTAAAAAGATGAAATATAGCCATTTTAGGGGTGAAAAATACAATTCTACCCTTATTAATATTTTAGCTAAAATTTCTAAAACTTTTATTAGAACTTGTCATATTTTTAGTCCTAATTCTTTACTTATCTCTTGAACCTTTTGTTCAATTTTATATATATTGTTATTTGGTTTTATGATTACTTCAGTATAAGTTTCTGTTTTCGAAGAACTTGCTTCGTTTTCTTCATTATTCTGTTTAGGAATAACATATTCTATTTTAGGTCTAACAAAAGATGAAGTTCTATGTACTTGAAAGGACCTTCTAGGTGCTTCTAGTTGTAATATAGGTGAAAACAATTTATCTATTTCAATTTTATCATGAGGTTTGAATGACAAACTGTGATGACTGTTAGTCAATGCATAGTTTATCCTCCATGTTACTGAAAATGGATGATTTCCAGTTTTCATTATTTTTCTTTTCATGTTCCAACACAAAGTGATGGAATCATCTAAATTATTGTCTAATAAGGACATCCCAACTTGGTAGTTTAAGTTAAACTTAATTTTACCAAATTTTAAATTTCCACTCC